GAGAACCTGCTTTTGACCATCCCATAACCATCTGGGTGGCCATGGAGAACTTAATGCTGGACCAGATGGGCCATTGGCCTGATCCAGCAGGCTCATCTTATGTCCTTATGAGCAAATTGCAGGATACCTTGGAAGAACTGCAGCTATCCTAACCACCACTTTTTAAAAAAAATAAATAAATGGGTGACTAAGGGAAGAGAGGAAGATGTCCTGTACTGAGTCAGAACATCGGTCTATCTCAGTTGTTGTTAGACTCCCATAATCCCTGACCATTATACCAGCAGGGCCTGATGGGAGTTGTCGTCCAGTGACAACTGAAGGGCATCACATTAGCTACCTCTAGTTTATCTAGCACATGGGCAGGCAAACTAAGGCCTGGGGCCGGATCCGGTCCAATCGCCTTCTCAATCCAGCCGGCGGATGGTCCAGGAATCAGTGTGTTTTTACATGAGTAGAATGTGTGCTTTTATTTAAAATGCATCTCTGGGTTATTTGTGGGGCATAGGAATTCATTCATTCCCCCCCACAAATAGTCTGGCCCCCCACAAAGTCTGAGGGACAGTGGACCAGCCCCCTGCTGAAAAAGTTTGCTGACCCCTGATCTAGCACAATCATTCTCGACACTAACTGTCAGTGGCTGGCTAGGATTTCAGACAGGCGTCTCCCCTAGCCCTATCTAAAGTTGCTTGGGATTGAAGTTGGGACCTGGTGCATGCAAACCAGATGTGCTTCCACTGAGCTGTGATCCTTAATGCATTATGGAGACTTAGAAATATTTGGAGGTAAATTGATGAAATTTGCCTAAGACAAGGAGAAAGGCATACTTTTCATCTCTTCTACATCTACTCTTATAACAACCATTCTGCTCTCATAGCAGCCCCAAGAGGAAGGGATGCCATGTGTTTGGGCAGTGGCAGGGTTGGGCTTCAGTGGTGGAAGAGGATGGTTCAAATTGTTGCGTGGAGGATGGGCAGTGCCAAGAATCCCTGCACCGTTCAGCCTTTGAGACAGTTTTCCTGGGCTTTCAAAGTTTGCTTATGAGCCCAGCTTAGGAGAAGTTCACCATATCATTAGACTTGTGCATCTTGAGTTGTTCCATGGCAGAAAAATCGAGCATTGCTATTGATGTTAAAATAAGCCCCAGGTTCAAAACCACTTGCATTATGTATGAGGACCAGCTTTAAAACTCTAATGGGGAAATTCCTGGAAGGATAAGATGAATCGTTAAGTTTGGCTCCAGGCCACAAGGAAAGAGAGACTACTTTTCCATATTCCTCTGCATTATATTAGTACAGTGAAACAAAAGCATTCTGCAGTCGTAAACAAACGAAGATAGCATAGATCAGCTATTTTCCTTTCAGCTGGTGCGTTCCAACCTCACAGTTTCCAGAGGACCTGTAGTTCTAGCCTAACATTTGGTTGCAGTTTTGCAATAAGATTTCTGGGGGGGGGGGTGTTAGCCAACTCCTTTTGAGCCTATTGCCCAAGTCAAATCCAAAGTATTATGGACCTATGGATCTCCTGATGCTCTTGGACTCACTCCAATTCTCATTAGCCCCTGTCAGGATGGTCAATGGTCAGGGATTATGGGAGTTGGAATCCAACAACATGTGATGGGTCACAGGTTCCCCACCCCTGTATTAAGGTAAAGGTAAAAAGTAAATGACCCCTGGATGGTTAAGTCCAGTCAAAGGTGATTATTGGGTGCAGTGCTCATCTCACTTCAGGCCAAGGGAGCCAGCATTTGTCCACAGACAGTTTTCCGGGTCATGTGGCCAGCATGACTAAACCGCTTCTACAAAACTAGCCATGTTTTTTTAAAAAGCAGTGAGCAAAAGGGGAGCCATTTTGCCCACCTACGTTCCTATCCACCACCACCATTCCGAGCAACAGATTCTCATCTGAGGACTTCTAGCTCAAATCTAGCTCTGGGGCACAAAATGGAGAGGAGGAGCAGCCTTAGTAGGTATGCATAAGAACATAAGGAAGACCCTCCTGGATTAGACCAAAGGCCCGTAAAATCCAATTGTGTTTCTACAGTGACCAATCAGATGCCTATACGTAGACCACATGAGAACAATGACCCACTGCGACTGTTGTTGCATTGTTCAAATATGTAAACTAAGTGTGGAAAAACTTCCCAGCTTTACTGAAAATTGTTCTGGCAAGAGCACAAAATCCTGCCTTTTAGTCAAAAACTTCTGGCAACCGGCCTAGAGGTCTGAAACCCAGCTAGGCTCGGTTTCCTGCCTGCCTGGTTGGTTGGCAAACTGAAATGAACACCGCAGGAAGGTACTACAGGACAAACAGCTATAATTGCCTCAGACCTAAGAACTAATCTAAATACTGCAAGGGAAGGCATTTTTTTAAAAAAATAAAAGAACAGGAACCCTTGTGTTGAACTGAAAGTTTTTTGGAGAGAATTTTCAGTTTGAGTTGGGTGGGGGTGAAAAGGGCTACCAAAGCTGGGGGCAATTTTCCATGGGGAATTTGTCAGAGGATTAATGGGATTCAGAAAGGGGGCATTTTCATTAGAGACATAATGAAAATTTCATTCACAGACATTGCTGCCACCACATTCTGTGATGAAATGTAGTTGTTTAAAAGGAGTGGGTTAGGATCCCACCAATGGCAAGCCCATTCCTGCAACCCCTTTATAGAATTAATCACCATGAAATATTGTCTAACCCTGCTCCATTGTCTTAACACCCCCCCTCCATTTTTAACCTGCAAATGGGATAGTGAAAGGAGGGGTGGGAGAAGTCATTTTCATTCAGCACTATATATTAAAAAAACAAAACAAAAGAGCAACACTAGGGGTGCCAGTCACTATGACTGGAATGAAAATAAATTTTCAACACCACAAATAGGACAACCTATGCTCATTTTTTAAAAAAACAAAAAACAAATAATCCTGATCATTTCAATCAGGGGTGGGGAACCACACCCACAACCCAGTCACATACTGCACTGTCACAGTGTTGCTTAGCAACCAGGCAGCGTGGCGAATCTCTTTCAGTGAGGTAGAATGTGCTCTGATTGGCTGTGTAGTTCTGATAGAGTTTTTCCTCTGCAAGTTTGGCCGAATGCCTCAATTCTCTGTACAAGGCCTGATCTATGAAAGACAAAAACCCCTCTGTCCCTTTCTCCACAAATTATACACTGGTTTTGTTCAGTTTGCTCAGTAAAGTGCTATCAGGACTTTTCTTTCTGGACTCCATGCGCCTTGTCTAAGTGACTTAGCTAGCATGAGCTACGATCTACAAAATCCCCCCTTTTTTACACTGTCATTTTCAACCTCAGCTTTGGGAAGCAAAGCCTTTCTTTATTTCCCAGGGTTGCATCAAAGAGACAGGAAGCTTACCTGTTATACACTGAACAATCTGCATGATGTGGTTTTTAACACATACAACAAGATGGTGGCTTCCATCCCCTGCACCCCCACATTTTTTTTTGTTTAACTGTGGATTTATTTTCTTTGTACTTGGATCCCATCCACACCATTTCAGTAGAGAAACAGGCCCTGCCTTACGCTGCCTGAGGCCAGCCTAGATGAACTCCCATAATAAGCTCACATGCTGGGCAAGCTGTTCTTTCTCCTTTCCTCCTTCTGTGATTAAGAAATGAATATGGACATTCTGGCTGCATAATGCAAGAAGCTGAGAAGGAGATAAATGGCTTTGGCAACACCAGTCCACTTAGGGGGCACAAGTGCATTTATGTCTCATTGACTCCAATGTGAAAGGTCTGAGCACAGGTTCTATTTTCTTTCCCATTGAAATAAGTGGGAATTTAAGTCTGCAATCCCACACGCACATATCTGGAAGAAAGCCCTATTGATCTCAGTGGGACTTGTTCCTCAGTAGACATGCATAGAATAAAAACCTTGAATTAATATCCTATATCCTTTTAAATGTGTTTTGGAGGAGTCATTGGTTTGTTTTGCTTTTGTTCTTGTTTTCATACTGGACTTCGTGTTTCTATCTTGCGTTCTTATGCTGTGGATTGCCCTGAGATCTTCAGATAAAGGGTGATATACGGATTTAATAAATAATAAAAAAAAATGGCTGAGTGGGGATTTGAACCCTGGTTTCCCAGTTCGTAGTCCGACAGTTTAACCACTGCACCACACTGACTCTCACTGCAATCATTGCAAGTGGATCCAAGTCACTACTGCACACATCTCACAAATAAAATAAATAAAATAAAATAAAAAGTGCTTCACTTTGGATGGATCATGCGTACATTTTTTAAAGGAAAACAATATCCTATTATGTCATGAAAAATAACACAGTTGTACAAAGCCAGTTCTTTTTTATTTTTATGAATACTTTATATCTGCCACCCCACAGGCTGGCATTGCAAATTTGGACCATTTAATCTGGAAAAGTGAAAATTTATTTATTGCATGTATAGTCCACCTTTCTTCCTCCAATAAGGTCAAGGTGGTGTATGTGGTTCTCCACCACCTCATTTAATCCCTACAACATCCCTGTGAGGTAGGTAAGGCTGAGAGGCAGTGATTGGCCCAAGAGCACCCAGTGAGCTTCATGGCTGAGTGGAGATTTGAAGCCTGGTTTCCTAGGTCCTAGTCCAACGGTCTAACCACTGCACCACACTGACTCTCACTGCAATCACTGCAAGTGGATCCAAGTCACTAGTGCACACATCTCACAAAGCACAGAGACCTGGGACAATACATATTCTTATGGAACTGGGCTGTTCTTTTATGCTACATGCACCATTAGCAGAACCTCAGTGTGTGGAAGTAAAAGCCAACATATATCTGATGATATCACTGTCTCCTTCTTGTTCAGACATCCAAATGCAAATTCCACAGCAATGAATATGCTCCCCTTTCTTTAGGAAAATCAATATTCCTGGAATCCCTAAGTAGGACAGTTGCCCCCACCTCTTTTGAACCAAATTGGCTGCACTGTGAGTTTGTAAGAAGTAAGTAACACATTTTATATGAGTTCTATGGATAAGTAGGTACTTACTGACAATTCGGTGATGATTTTTTGAATCTCCTTATAGCCATACTTTTCTGCAATACATGCTGGGTTTTCTCTGTACTTATTGGCTATCCCACAAGCTCGAATTGCGTCAGGACATTGGAGAAGGAAACCAGTAAGCTTCTTTAATCCAAATTTAGCTGCACAGTGGAGAAGAGTAGGAAGCTCTTCCAAGTGTGAGTCTGCATTGGGTGAAAAAGCATGCATAAACAACAACAATACTTTCAAAAAAATTTTTTTAAGTCTATAGATCATATTGCAAACTTGAGAGCATGGGGAAGGTCGTTCACAAATGAAGGAGTCATGTGGTATGGTAGACAATGGACTTGGGAGACCCACATTCAAATGCCTGATAAGATATGAGGGTGACGTTGGCCCTGCCTTACACAGCTGTTGTAAGGGTAACTTGGGGAAAATCTCATGCTCTTTGGAGAGCAAAGAGGGGTACAAATGTGATAAATGAGGAATAAAAAGCGCTATGGTTCAGGGGCCAGCAAACTAAGGCCCGTGGGCCGGATCAGGCCCAATTGCCTTCAGGATCTGGCCTGCGGATGGTCCGTGGATCAGCGTCAGGATTCTGCGCCATTCCATTTCTCTCCCTCTCCCTCTCCCTCACACCATGCTACCACTGCCTCCCCCCCTCCTGGCTCCCCCCCCCCCGTTAAGTTGTGGGTGAACATATCAGATGACACAGCGATTCTTCAGACAGCTCTTGTTTATTCACAGGCCAGAACAGAACTGAACTGAACTGAACTGAAGGGTTCAGCCAACCTGCTTATACAGAGCTCAACTACAAAGCAACAGTAACAACTTTCTGTAACTATCCATTCCCTGAACATCACTTTCAATTCCTTATTTGCATATGCGGACCTGAGTGAAAACTATCTACAGTATCCCCCTGCTGGCCCAGGGTGAGAACTTTAGTACATAACACCCGCCCAGTCTCGAGGAGGAAGGGGGCTGGGCTCAGCTGGCTGAGCGCCATTTTTAGCAGCCCCACACCAGAGCCAGCCCTTTCACACCACTCATCTTCCCTCCGCCACCGCCACCGCCCTGGTGCTCCTGTGGGCCAGAGAGCGGGAGGGACGAGTTCGCTCTGCCTACCCACGAGAAGCAGCAGCAGCAGTGGTGGCAGTGGCAGCCCCAGGGAAGGAAGGCTGGGGGTGGGGAGGGGGACTACTTGCCCTCCTCGCCTCTTCTTCCAGCTCTCCCCCCCCCGGTGCCACTTCTCTGGCCCACCACAAGGTCTGAGGGACAGTGGACCGGCCTGCTGCTAAAAATTTTTGCCGATCCCTGCGTATGGTTCAATCAGAACTTTCAAAATTGCCCTCTGTTTCCAGATTAACTATCCTCTCTAGCTACCATCTCCGGGTGTTCATCCTTGAAATGCAAGTCAAAAGCACATAGACTCTACAATGGTACCTCAGGTTACAGACGCTTTAAGTTACAGATGCTTCAGGTTACAGACTCTGCTAACCCAGAAATAGTACCACGGATTAAGAATTTTGCTTCAGGATGATAACAGAAATCATGCTCTGGCAGCGTGGCGGCAGTGGGAGGCCCCATTAGCTAAAGTGGTGCTTCAGGTTAAGAACAGTTTCAGGTTAAGAAAGGACCTCCGGAACGAATTAAGTACTTAACCCGAGGTACCACTGTATACTGTAAAAGGATAGGGATGGTGGTGCATGCTCAGGTAGAGGATATCTTAAAAGCTAATATGGCTGATAAACAACGTGGATTCCTTCATTTTTAAAACGGAGGAAAGCAGTTCCACAATGTAAGCAGACTATGGATATTTGTTCTCCATGAGTTTTAAGTGCAAATTTCCTCTTTGTTGCCTAGTTAAACACAACATTTCTAGAGGAGATACACTGTAATAATTGGGCATATAATAGCTTCGTTCCATGGCACAGAATTACAACTGCAGCTAAAATGTGTGAAGAATATCAGTTTGCTAAGCATCCAGATTATTTAGGGCTGTAATAGTGGCTGCGCATTTGGGGACGAGGTTGTTAAGCACGGCTGCAAAATAGCAGGTCAAGAGCTCAAAGTGTCCCTTTTATTTTCTGCCTGGGATGCTTGTGAAGAAGGTAAGCTGAAATCAATTGATTGTTACATAGCACTTAATTGTTAGCACCTGGAGCAGTGTCAATGGGGAGGGGGGGAGACAGAGTTCTTGCTCAGCATCATTAGGAAGGCACATTTTTAAAGACAAGGGGTAATTGCACAAAACAATCCACAATAGCATGGGTAGAATGCAGGGTGAAGACTGTGAGGAATGATAACCTGTGTTTTGTTCATAAAACATCTAAGTTACCATATTTTTCGCTCTATAGGACGCACCCGACCATAGGGCACACCTAGTTTTTAGAGGAAAAAATATTCTGAATCAAATGTTGTATAAACTACTGTATTTCATAAACAACCGGTATATCAGAATCATATTACAGCCATGTAAAGTGAACAGCAGTCAACAATGGCATTAAGAACTATCATCACTGTCATTAACAAATGAAGAGAGACTTTAAGGTTTGAGTACTCTTCTAGTCTTCTGTGAACCCCAAGAACTCATCACTGCTAAAATCAGAATTTATGAAGCTCAGTTGCTCACAGTCACTGACATCACTTTCTTTGCTATCTTCACGTAAAATACCATCTTCGTTTCCATCCAAAGCATTGCTAATGCCACATTTTTTCCTCTCAGTCCTCTTCCTCCCCTCTCTCAGCGAACAGCCTGCCCACTGCTCCAAAGCTTGAGGGGAAAGGGCAGGGTGCTGCAAAGCAGCATCCCCCATCCCCATTCAGCAGCCCAGGAGCGCGGGGCATGGGCACACAGCCCTCCCGCTGCTCCAAAGCTTCCCGGGGCTGCAGGGGGAAGCCGAGGCTGCCGACAGAGGAGCGCGGCTCCCCACCACCACCAAAGAGCAGCCCAAGAGCGTGCCGCACTCCAGCAATTTGGCTCCAGGGACCACACATTCGCTCCATAGGATGCACAGACATTTCCCCTTACTTTTTAAGAGTAAAAAAGTGCATCTTATGGAGCGAAAAATACGGTACCTTCCCTACCCTAATCGAATGCCCGACACATCACACAATGGAATAAAAGAGCCACACCCAAATGTTCAGTTTAGGAACATAGGAAGCTGCCTTAAATTGAGTCAGGCCTTTGGTCCATCTAATTCAGTATGGCCTACACTGACTGGCAGCAGCTCTCCAGGGTTTCAAGCATGAGTCTCTCTCAGACCTACCTCAAAACATCATGAATTAAAACTGAGACCTCAAGCTTGCACCCCTAGGGATGGAAGTGATCTGTCAATCTTGGTTCTCCCACTTTCTCATTTTTCAGTTTTCCACATTTCTGTAGCAATTAGCTATTTTATTTTTAAAAAAACTCCTCATAAAATTTCAACTGCATGCTAGTATGAATTTTTCCTATTAAAGATATTTTCGTATGCAACTTTGACTAATGTACAGATTTCCCCCCGCAAGCAGTTTTCCCTAATGGGATGCATTTTTGTTTGCTGTTTTCACTGAAACATTCATTTAAATGCACATCCCCCCCCCCAGGTGTGCATTTTGTAAACGTCATTTCGCTGGGGAACTGCGTTGTAAAATTTCAAAATGTGCAAATTTCATTTTTTTTTATAAGATATTTATTGAGATTTTCAAAATATTACAAAATAAGAATAAAAATAAAAAAGAAGAAAATACAAATTTAAAAAAATGGTTAAAAACAACTCAATCTTTCCATTACTTATTTTTCATTAGCTTGTTTCCCGGACCTCCTCACGCCTCCCTTTTTTGTATTCCAGTTCGGTTTGTTGGTTCAGCAAATCCTTACCCTCTTTGTTTATCCTAGTCTTTAATCTTAAAATATTGTAACATTAAATTTTTACCTATTAATAATCCATTTTTCATATTCCCTTATAGTATTACTTGTGCAAATTTCAAAAGATGCCTGTTTTTCAGTTGTTCCCCCTTGGGATAGGGACTTGTCTTCCCATTCTTTAAGTGTCGTAGTCACACAGGTACTATATAAACAACAACAAGAACCTCCAGAGAGCTGATGCTGAGAGACACTGCCAGTGAAAAATAGGCTAGATCAGGCTTCCTCAACCTCAGCCCTCCAGATGTTTTGAGACTACAATTCCCATCATCCCTGACCACTGGTCCTGCTAGCTAGGGATCATGGGAGTTGTAGGCCAAAAACATCTGGAGGTCCGAGGCTGAGGAAGCCTGGGCTAGATGGACCAATGATCTGGCTCAATAGAAGACAGTGTCATATGTAAGCCTTTTATCAGACTATTACAGTCCTCTTTTGCACTTGTATCCTACTACAGTGGTACCTCAGGTTAAGTACTTAATTCGTTCCGGGGGTCCGTTCTTAACCTGAAACTGTTCTTAACCTGAAGCACCACTTTAGCTAATGGGGCCTCCTGCTGCCGCTGCGCCGCCAAAGCACAATTTCTGTTCTCATCCTGAAGCAAAGTTCTTAACCTGAAGCACTATTTCTGGGTTAGCGGAGTCTGTAACCTGAAGCGTATGTAACCTGAAGCGTATGTAACCTGAGATACCACTGTATTTCAAACTTAATTTGAAGGAGCATAAATACATTTTTAGAGTGCAGTACATTAAGCAACCTTCACTATAGAAGGCATTTGACCTCCATTTGTTGTTGGACTCAAGCTCCCACAAATTGCAACTAACATGGCCAATGGTCAGGGATGATGGGAACTGTAGTCCCACAAAATCTGAAGGACCACAAGTTTAGATGATATTAGAATGAACCAAGTTGGAGATTTACAGCACATTCCCATGCATGTCTACTCAGTCCAACTGAGTTCATCCAGGCTTACTTCCAGATAGGTGCATATGGGATTGCAACTGATATTCTTTTATTATCCGCATTTCTCTAAAAAAACCCACACACAATAAAAAACACCTGCCCCTTAACTCCCCCGCTCTAAGTGTTTCAAACAAAAAAACAGCATTTCATGTAGGAAACGCTAGGAAGCAATATAGTTTGAGCTATTATCTCTAACACGTTTCCTATGTAGAAGAATCTTGCATAATTATATGCAATTAGACCTAACTTTGACGTTTGCCTTCTAGAAAGAAACACCCACAACCCACTTATCTCCCCTGTGACGTATGTCCTATGGCACAGAAAGTCTGCTGTGCA